TGGGCTCTGCTGACTGTCCAGGGTTAATGACCTTGTTGCAAAGCATCTGTCAGTCACTGGACAGATTTGGATGAGTTCCAACAAGCAGGCCAGGCAAATTTCAAGGCTTTAGACTGAACCCCCCAGGGAGAAATGAAAAGCAGAGGGAGGGAGGGACAGCAGATATTCTGGTTGTGGCAATAAGCCTGTGTGTGTGTGTGTGTGTGTGTGTGTGTGTGTGAGGCCCTCTAGAAGTGCTCAGGTTACCCTTGGCTACCAGGCAAAGGTCACCCTACTCTTTTAGGTTATCCCCCAAAGGCCATCAAGTCCTCCAAAAAGAAACTGATGTATTGTAACTCTGATAGTCTGATTGTACTTTCCCAGTGTTTCACATGATTCATTTCCAGAAAGTAATTTTAGTTGATTGCCTTGTGGTCCTTTTGAATGAGGCATTTTAAGAAATAGGAGAAAATTGAAAGGGTTGGCTCACTATCAAAGTATATCCCTTCTGAATGCTCCTAAGGGCAGTGCAACTGCCAATTTGGGATGGAAACTTGTTGGGATTTCTGTCTCTGGAGATTTTTTAATGTGAGGTGAGACAACTGTCTTTCTTGGTCCATTTAGTTGGATGCCTGCCTGGGACAGGGGTATCGGATGACCTTGGAGTCCCTTCCAGTATTGGCTTTTGATGACTGAGTGGTAGATTCATGAGACTGTATTCATGAGGCTGGGGATTTAACCCGTCTGCTTTATTCTTTGAACTAATGTCTCTCAGTTTTCTTTCTCCAAGCAGATTTAAAACTCTTTAAAGGCTAGGATGCTGCCTTGTGTGTTTTTTTTTCAAGTTCCCCATGGAAGAGAGAGAGGGTGGGGTAGCTTGCTCTAGAGAATGGAGAAATGCTCGGGGAGAGAGAGTGTCTGGGGAGAGAGCACGAGGTCCCAGGTGGAAGGCTGACCATTGATGGGAGGAAGGATCTACATCCTCTGAGGATGGAAGGAATGAATCAAAACTGATATGGATGAAAGAAGATGGGGGAGATGACATTTCATAACTTCAGTTTCATTGATGAAGGATGAGAAAAGATTATCCACTGAAAGAAAGGAATCTAAGGGATAGAAACAGAATGGCAAACATTTGGAATAATTATCGCAGAGATTGCAAGAGGGTGCTGACCAAGGACAAGTCAAAGGTTTGGTGGGTGGTGCTAGAGGCTCAAATGAATTCTGAAGCCATGAATATGCAGAGGAACCGACTCTGAGAGCTGCCTGGGATTTTGGCCAATGTGTAGCTGATGGGCATACGGTTGGAGAAGGGAGACTGGAACAGTGAGTTCAGAGTTTGGATTTCCCTGAGCAATGTGGTAGAAACATAGAGATACAAGGTAAGCAGACAGAGGAATGTTCAGATAACCCATCTGGGGATGTAGGCTTGGCAGGGAAGGAAAAGCATTGCTGGTTAAAAAATACTAAATAAATAAACAGACAACAAGAAACTGGAACACTTTGTGAGGGCAGGCAGCAAGTGTAGCAGGAATAAAGATATGAGAGAACTCAGAGGATAGGACAATATGGCCAGAGAGTGGAATATTGGAGTTCAAGATTTTTTGATGGTGACAAAAGCCAGGGTGTGACCATGAGAATGGGTGTTCCCAGGGCAGAGTCAGGGAGAGTCATGGACTTCAAGGTCACATCGTTGGCTGGATGATCCCATGGGGGTTTATTTTCATGGACGTGCACATCTCCTAGGATCTGGTGAGGAGCAGGGGTGGGAAGGACTACGGGGGAGGTCTCAAAGAGCTGTGATGGGGGGATGCATACAGAGATCTGGGGACCCCAGAGGGTCCCCTACTACAGATGTGGAGAGCCAGCAGACTTGTGGGGGGCATGAGAGCTGACTTGAGCCCCACAGTATGAGCGAGGTCAACCAGGGGAGGGAGAAGGAGGGCAGAGAAGAGGGTAGGATTGTTCCCAGTGGAGGAAGTAGACTGTTAACGAGATCCATGTTTTATAAAGTGCCTGGCTTCATAAAATGAAAGATAATCTGGAGATGCAGAACCTGTTATTAAAGAACACAGTCTGTAGTTTGGTAATCTTCCCCACTTAGAGTAGCCCCTATTTTGTTATTTTTGATTTAACAGATTGTTTTATTAACTCAGACTTCAGGGGGCTACAATTCACACCCTCAGACGTGTAACATATTGTGAAGCCATTTAATATAAGGAAGGAGGTGAAATGTTCCCCAGGATCTGTCCTTTTCATGCTGTATGACTTAACCCTCTGTCTCCAGATTAATTTTCAATTGTAAAAGAAGTGCATTATTTATTCTACGTGGCTGGAGAAAGACCTGGAACTGGCAATATGGGAGAACAGGCTATGGAAGATGAATAACATGTCCAAGAGCATTTTGAGTTATGCCTTAGTGAGATGCAAGTGGGGGGCATTATTAATATGTGCCAATGTTCACATGCTAAATGTGGGTTAAGAAAAGAGAGGAACGCTCAGAGGAGCGCCAAACTGAGTGTGAGGGAAAGAGAAAGTCACAGAAGAAGCCAGCTCTTTTTCAGCCAAGTACCTTGAGTCATGAATTACATCCAAGGAGACATAGCCAACTGACACGCTAGACTTGGAACCCACTTGCCTTTATCCACCTCGTTCTCGCGTGGGAAATGGTTGGATGTGGCTCAGTGCCAAGAGCCCAGGCTTTGGACCAAAGTGGAGCTCGGCCTGCGTCCTTGGCTGTTGAGCAGTGCAACCTTGAGCATGCATCCAGGCATCTCTGAGCCTCTGTTTTGGCGTTGGTAGAAGCAGCAGCAAAAAAACATTAAGGAAAATGTTTTAAGTCAGAAAGTGGACTTGATGCTTGGAAGTTAGGTATGTGAGGTAGTCAGAACAATGGTAGCTGTTAGCCACGCCTACTGCTCCTACTATTAGTACTGCTACTGGTACTCTGCTCAGTGGATGGATGTGTACGATAGAGGGAATGCTTGGACATGTGCATGCTGCACTCTTCGTAAGTTCCTGCCCTAATAAAATAATTTAAAATGCAAATGGTACCTCGGTAGTGCTGCAGCCAGGTTCACACTTCCTCTGGAGGCCAATAGGCACTTTTCAGAGGCCTCATATGTGTGTGTCTTTATGGAGGTGGGGTCTCTGGGAGATGGGGAGGCGATTGTGAGGCTGGAAGCAGCTTCCTTCTTCTAAACGCACAGTCTGGAATCTAGCACTATAGGAAGTTTCTTAAGTTGACTTAGAGAAATAACCCAGCCCTGGTAGCAGTGCACAAATGCTACTGAGAGCCATTTTTTCAGAGGGAAGATAGTGACTGCAGTATCCTTAGCTCCTTCTTTGAGCAGGACACTGGGAGTGTCGTCGGGATGTTTGGCTTAAGGACCATAACCCTTAAGGATTTGGAAGGGGACTTCAGGTGCTGAGCCTCCTAGAAGAGCCCACATGTTACAGGTCTTGAGGAGGCTCCCCTGTGTACCTTCCTGGCTTAAGCCATGGCTCATGTCTAGCTGGACTGAGTATGGGACATCTCTCCACTCTATTTGTGCCCCTGTTCTGAGCTGGGTGCCAGGGATCTTTGGTCTTCCTGCTTGACAAACAAATTAAGTCAAGTTTAGACCTGACTGTTTACATAGTGTCTGGCAAATATACTTTTAAAGTGTATAATCTCTATTTTGATGTCCCTGGAAATAAGAAAGTCAAATTCCAAATAATTTGTATTAGAAAAGCCGTATGGAAAAGGGTCATTAGGAAAACATAGTAGGGTTCAAGGCCAAATGGGGGAAGTAGGGCAAACATCAGCTTGGTGATTTTAGACTGGGAAGCACAAACACAGGATGAGGAGTTTCTTTCAGTAAACGCAGTTAAATTTCTAGGAAGATTACCTGGGAAAACTGTGGGCCTGCCTTCTTTGGATTCCCTGAGGAAACACCTTTGTCTGCTTGGAATAAATGAAGGAAGCCTGTCTGTAGGCAGTGAGGTTGTGAGATAATCGCTAGTTCCACATCATACATTTTGATTCCATATTAATATATGGAGCTTCACATTTTAAACAGAGCATTTAAACATATTGAGATGAGCAGATTTCTGGAGCCTTGCCATTTGCAAAGTATTATATTGTCTTAATTCACATAAGTGACCCTGGCTCATATTGCCAAGTGCACACTGGCAATTATCAAGACACTCCAACAGGTAACAACATTGGGATTTATTCTCATGGCTCAACCTCCTCTTTGGCCTGCAGCCTTTATTCCATTGCTGACCAAAGCCTCAGGATTGGCAGCCTGGTTTGACTCCCTCCTGCTGTCTGTGGGCTCCACCCTGTGCCCCAAGGAACCGAACAATGGGGACCAGCTGGTACCTTGTCTCCCAAAGCTCTACTCTGTTGGAAGAGACAAAGTTGAATTCATCTCTTGGGGTTACCATCTCTGTTAAGGGAAGAACAATCAGAAAATCCATACTATCTATGACTGCTTCCTAAAACAGGGGCATTCACATCTTTATAGACTATAGGACATAGACGTGTAAATGGAATTATGCAAATTACATTCACATCTGCAAAGTATTGCAGACCAAGCCAGGTCAGGGTCACAAATCTTTCAAAATTAACGGTTCTAATGAAGTCCATTTAATTGAAAAGTTAGCTTGGGAAAGAGTGGTGCACAAATACCTGCCTAAACTTACTAACTTCCTAGTTGCTCACAGACATTAACCTTTGGCTGAGAGGACGTGAAGTAAGCCTTCTCATTGTCTCTTGACTGGGCTTTGAAAAAGTAGGGAATTCTGGAATCCAGTCTCTTACTGTGAAAGTTCGCTGTAGGCACATTATCACAATCTCATTTATAGGAAAGAAATCCTTTGAGGAGTCAATCTGTTCCACAAAGTTCTAATCATGATTTTCCTGTTCACTGAAAATGAATATGGAAGTGAGAATTGTGCTGGGTCTGGGAATCAATCAATCGGTCATATTGTCACTAACATTGTGTCATTGAAATCATCTTTCTGTCTTATGTCAGTTCACAAAACACTGTCACGTGGGCCATCTTGTCTTCTCTCAATCATCTCAGAGGCAGACATCATTTATCCACATTTTGCAGGTAAGCAAACAGGCCCAGAGAGGGCAAGTAACTTGCCTGAGGTCTCACAGCTCGGAGGTGGCAGGACTTGGACTGGGAAGCAGCTCCTTGAAATTGCAGTCCGCTTTTGCTGCTGGGCCATTCTGTGTTGAAAGTATACATAGTAATGCTGTAGGGGCCCACTAATTGCTGTATAAGGCTGATTAATCTTCAGACTAAATGCCTGGGTACCGTCCAGCATTATTCATCCTTTGACTGCCTGGTCTCTAGACTCTCTGGAGAGGTAAGCCAACCGATTAACACTCAGCATCCCTTGTCACGCCCTGCACGGTGGTGATGGGGCTCCGTGTGTCCTGATGTGGGGCCTGCAGCCTTGGGCCATGAGTTACTCTGGCCAGCAGAGGCAAGAACACAGGACCATCATCCATCATGTTGCTTTACTGCCTCTCCACATTCCGTGGACCTGTGTCCACAGCTAATGAGTGTAGAATGAATACAGCACTTCCATGGAAATCAAGCCACCACTGGAAAAAGGGGAAAATAGATTCACAAGTTATGGGTACATGATAATGATGATGATACATTTTGCTACATCTTTTACTCCAGACCAGAGTAAGAACCTGGCATTATATTGTGCACTGATGTCCACAGCACCTTAAAAGCAAGTATGTCAAAAAGAAACCCTGAGCCGGCGGCCAGCAACATCCCGGTTTTCGTCCAGTGTCTTCAGCTGTAACTGTATCCACCGGTCCCCTTGCCTCTCTCCATTGTTCCGCTTTCCCCATTTGCAAAATGGACCATCCTCCCCTGCAGGATGAACCAGGCTGCCGACGTGAAGTGCCAGCACGAAGCATGCCATAGGCGAGATGATAACAAACATCTCTGGCTACTGGGTTATATGCAAGCGTCAGTTTGGAAGGTATCATTAGCTGGTATTTCATAGTATTGTATGAAACTTTTAAAAATGTATTTCTCCTTTGTATGCCCCAAATTATTATTTCTTCCTGTCTTTTGGGCATTAAGGAAGGGGGCTACTGCTCAGGTCAGATCGCTGATAAAAGGAGGCCGAGTGGCAGTGGCTTCTGACTTTGGAATACCTGCCCTCTGCTTGGTGCTCTTTCCAAGGGTAGATCTGGGGCTTTGCTCCACTTCAGGTAGGTAGTATTTTGGCCCGCTGCTTGGGTATTGTACTTCTGTGCTCTCTGTTGTCCTGCAGTATCGGGCAGATGTATCTTCTACTTTTTTTTTAGTGGGACGGCAGCTCCCTGATGGGGGTCCGTGTCCTGTACTGGACAGAAACGCAGAGCCAGGATGCTTCTCACACAGCATCAACAGCATCATTCATGGCCAGGATTATGACGATGCCTGTGATTTTACTGTGCCCTTGGGTGAGGAATGAGGAGTAAATGGGGTGTTGCCTCAGCATACCCAAACCTTAGGGTTCAAGCCTCGTCTTTCACTGTTTTATTAAGAAAAAAATTGGAAATAATCTAGATGTCCATCAAGAAGGGATAGGTTAAATAAATTATGATACATCATCAAAGAGGATGAAATAAATTTGTGTGTGCTGCTATAGAGAAATATCCATTTAATAAAGTAAAAAAGGGATATATATTTTGCTTGACTCATTTTTATCAAGAAAAGATCTTTATCTATTAGCATCATCATCTATCTTTCTACCTTTTCTTCTATATCTATCATCTATCTTAGTTTCCTTACTGATGAATAAAGCACTCTGAAAGGATATTTTTATAGTAAGGAAGGATTCACAAGAAAATTTTAGCAGTGGTTCATTCTAGTGACTCGCCTGATGGTTGGAGAACAGGGGCATTCTAACTTACCATTTTATATCTTTCCATATTTTTTTGAAATTTTAACCATAGCCCTTATTCTTTCTGTGCTTTGGTTCCTTCACTTATAAAATGGGGAAAATAATAAGTGGGTAGAATTTCAGTTCATGACACCCAAACCTTGGGGTTTATCCTTATCTTTCATTATAATACTGTTTTTAAGAAAAACATTGGGAGCGATCTAAATGTCCATTAAGAGGGGATGGATTAATATCTCAAGACTGTCGATGGGCTTGAATTATTAAATACAGTAAGGTGCTTAGGACGATGCCTGGCACCTAATAAATGCTCAATAAATGTTGACTGTTCTTAGTTTTGGAGTTTTTAGTAAAGAGGAAAAATTGCTTTTCTTTGAGTTCTGCTAGAACTGTATGTCTGTAAATAGAACAAACTCAGGGCTTCCCTTCTAGATCTGTCTTCACTTGAGCCTAAGGGAGAGGATGGCAGAATCTAGTCTCAAAGATTCTGTCCCTTTCCCCTTCACAACTGCAGATGGCAGCTACTTTGTATCTTCCTAAGGTAGAAGACATTGTGAGGGCAAGTGGATACAGTTTCAAAATGTTTATATCAGATGGAGGAATAACTGAGTGCAGTATAATAAAGAACGTACATGTTACTCGTCCCTGTTCCTGGCACAGGGCTTCAATTGCCCTTTGTGTTTCCTGAGTGACTGGAGCGTCTTTGTTACGTTAACAAGGTGAATCAGGTGGGCCGCTGGACAGTTTCGAGATGGGAGCTGGTCCCCAGAAGAAGGGCTGAACACATACATGATCAGGAGGTTGGAACTTTGGACCAATTCACCCTCTGAGAAAGGGGGCTGAAGATTGAGTTCAATCATGTGATCAGTGATTTAGTCAATCATGCCTTTAATGAAATGCCAATAAAAACTCTGTGCCCTGAAGCTCAGTGGAGCTTCCTGGCTGGTGAACCCACTGATGTTCTGGGAAGGTGATGTGCCTGATTCCACAGGGGAAGGCACGGAAACTGCCCTCCCCCCCAGACCCAGCTCTATGTGTATCCTTTATAGTAAACCAGGTGTAAGTTAGCACTTTCCTGAGTTCTGTGAATTCTTCTAGCGAATTATTGACTCCAAGGGGGTCATGGGAACCCCCAAATTTGTGGCTAGTTTGTCAAATGTGTGGGTGGACTGGGGACCCCTGGAACTCTGGGTGGTTAGTGGCAGACTTGAATTACTGCAGTGTACCCAGGCGGTGTGGAAACAGTAACAGAGTCACATGGTTTAACTAATTATTAGCAAAACCTCCTTCTTCCTCTCCCATGAACCAGAAAGCCCCATTTCCCTGTGGTGTTAGGGGCAGAGTAACCCACACCGGAGGCTGGAATGGTCTGGGTGTCACCATATGCTCTTTATCCCCGCTTGTTCTCCTCCTCTGCCCTGTGGCGCTCATGAAAATTTATCAGTAAAAATGATGGTGAAGTGACCTGAGATTTTTTGCATTTGTACCCAGGAATTTTTCTACTCATAGATTGAATGCAGCCCTTCTTAGTATACAAATCATAGTAATTGATTTTCCTTGTTTCTTTTTCCCCACTCACTTTCCTCAAACTGGGACTGCCAAGGACATATGTTTACTGAATCGCAATTTCATTTACAAGGCCTTCCCAACCTATTAGACATGGAGTTCACACAAGAGTTGCTGCTCCGTGTTTAAATGCAGCTCATTAATTGTAAGACACGTTACTCTTACTCTCTGCTAAGATTTTTAATGAATGCAAATAGCATTTTATTTCAAAGCTGGGAAAAGCAACCAAAATATTGCCAGAAATTGTCTTGATTGTTTTAAAATAATTATTAGAGCAAGACAGAAGCACTCCAACCATGGATTAAATAGCATCCTGTAGGAATCAGAGCTCTTGCTCTCCTCTGTCCTGATGTGCAGGTTTTCTTTCCTTTTTTCATTTTTAGACTGGATCATCTATCTGGGAACCAACTACCATTTCACATCACCAGCAGCATATTCTTGTATTTCCTCCTGTCAAAACAAACTGGTGCATGCTTGGGAAATGCAGACTCATTCCACTACCAGCATAATGAAACCAAATATGAAATGCAAATATGTTAGCAAATATATGTGAACACACAAGCACCTAAAGCCAAATAGGTGTAGGTTTTTCAGATGACTTATTTGTTCATATCACTGTCCTGGAAGGATCGGAATGGGGACCATGGCAAACCATGCTTGTGAAAACCACCCAGAATTACAAAAATTTTACAGGTGGAAAGATGTTCTTACCTATGAACCTTACCCTCTTACCCTCTCTACAATCCCCCTTGTGAAAAGTCATCCAGATTCTGTAGGAACAGTCTAAATACAGAGAGGTTCTCATGGACTTCTGCATGGTCCACTCTCGGATGAACCTCTAGTTATTGCATGTCTCTTCTTACGCTGCGCTGTGTCATGCAGCTGGTGTTCCTGTGTCTTCTTGCTGGCCTCCCAGAGAGGTAGTGTAAGCGCTGTTGGACGTGGTGGTCCTTCTCCTGTGGGGACAGCTTGTTCATGGTGAGCCCCTGTATTGGTTTCCTACAGTTGCTCTAACAAAGCACCAGGAGCTGGGTGGCTTAAAACAACAAAAGTTTATTCTTCTGTCGTTCTGGAATCTGAAAGTCTTATACCCTGGCTGTGAGCAGTGTTGGCCCCTTCTGGCGGCTCTGAGGGGAGTGTCTTCTTTGCCTCTCTCCTAGCCTCTGGCATTGGCAGGCGGTCTTGGAGTTCCCTGTCCTGTAGCTGCATCACCACAATCTTTCCTTCTGCCTTCCCATGGTTCTCCCTGTGTCTGTGTTTTCCTTCACTTGGTCATCTCCCCTCTGTGTCCCTTATTCTTGTAAGGACACCGGGCATATACAACCAGTAAGCCACGATGCCCGTATGACCTCATCTTAACTTCAGTTATCTCTAATAGGCCTACTTCCAAATAAGGTCCCATTCGGAGATACTGGAGTTTAGGACTTCAACATGTCTTTTCTAGGAACAAAATTCAACTTGTAAAAGTACTTGAGTCCTTTTAACTATTCTTGATAGAGCAAAGGTTGCAGGCTCCTCATCAACCTGTTCATCTCCATTTATAAGGTCCAGGTTGTCCATGTTCCCTTCACAGCTATGGTTTGAGAGATAGTAGAGCAGAGGACAGGGGATTATCTTTTACTCTTTTTTTTTTTTTTTGGAGTCTAGGAATAAAAATAAAATATATCTAGTTTTAAATGATGAAGGGGTCAGTTTCAAAATAATATTTGCAGGCAAATTAAACTTTTAGAAGTAGTGTTTATCTGTGAATAAGAAAGTATTTGGCTTTCTCTGTACCTGAGACCTCCTGTTCTCAAAGGCTGCCACCTCTTGCCCCCATCTCTGATTTCCTTGGGATCCCAGGACATTGTTTCACATGCTTGCAAAATGATTTTTCCAGAAAACATAAGTCAGTGAATCATACTCACAGGAGCAAAAGAAGCCAAAGAGGGCAATTTCAGAACACCTGTTGGGCACGGTGTCTCACGGGGAGGCTGTGAACCCCCAGAGCATTTGTGTTAGTGGGATGGGCTCTGTAGGACTGACTGTGGCCATGGAAAGTGTTGAATCCTTTCTACACAGAGATCACCTCCTGCTCCCGGAGGGTTGCGGGGTCCAAAGCAGAGTTCAAGGACCTGGGCTGTTGTCCGTTAGCTGTCCTACTACTGTGGCTCTCGCCATTTGGGCTCCTTCCTGCAGAGCTCTGCATAGCCTTTGGAAGCCTTCCCTGTTGTTAACCCCACTTTGGGACCCTGACCTTGTGGTCCCCACTTTGTCATGATCTGAGCCTCTGGCAGTAAGAAAGGGATCTTCTGCTGAGGATGAGTCGCAAGCAGGGATCTGAGGTGGAGGCTGCAGAAAGGGGATGTGGAGAGTGGGTAAAAATAACCAGTAAGCCACTACTTGTGCTGAGTAATGGTGCTTACAAGTATCCTTGGGTAAATGTGCCCAACATGACAACCACAATGTGTTTGAACCAGAAAACCCTTATATTTGTTTTTATAGCTTATAAGAAACATTTCAATTCTTGCCACATTCACTTGCCTGCATTTTTAATAGGAGGAAGTGTAATTACTGAATGGGCATTCATTACAGAATGCATCAATACTGCACTGGGTTTTGCAGTATTTTTCCTTTTTATCATTGTAGTTGTAGATCATGAGTCTAAGCAGGTTCAGGTAATGCCACTCCGATTTCGGAGAATGTGATGTGTTCAGAAAGGTCTAGAAGTCCTCTTCACACAGAGGTGGAGGGCTGGGGGTTGTCATGATGATGCAAAGGGTTGGTGACTCTGCTGTTCTATTAAGATATATTCTATTTAGAAATACTAACTGCCCTCATGGATCCTTAATTAGCCACCTGTTTTCTCAGCTTTCCTACGTCCCCACTGAGATGTTGCAAGTTTTCATGCTTCTATTTGTAATGAGTACAGTGGAACAGAAAGGTGTTTTGTGTCAATGTTTATGGGAGAAGTAGAAATTGGAATAGAGTTTGGAGGTAATATATTTCATGGGGCAATGGGGAAAATATATTTTGATCATTGGAATGATTGATTTTACTTACTGACTTGAATGGAATGAGATAGATCCAGTCCATTTAATTAAAATGTTTATTGAGTGTCTACTACATATAAAGCACATAGTGGTTGGGTGGGAGAATCTATCAGAACAAACCTTAACACCAAGTAGAATGAAATATATACCA